TTCCACCAATTCGGATAACTGTGAAGCAGCCAGCCAATCAGAACACGAGTTGGGTCTACGCCCAATGAGCCGATAACGTGACAACTTTTTGCCGGCAGAGGTTACTCGAATTTTTCGGGCGATGGTAGCGGGGATTCTAGGACAACTCAGACATCAGCTGTTCGCCGAAGGTCAATTGGCTCGTCTTCTGGTATACTGAATCGAACACATTCACTTCTCTGATGCCTAGGAGTGCGCAATTTGAGAGATTGACCTCTAGAAGGTTAGCCTACCTTGGAAGACGATGGGGATCATTTTCGTACTAAGCGTCTGGATGATCAAATTACGCTCACTCAGCGGGAGGCTACGCAAAAACTACTTCCACCCCATTAGAACAAACAAACGAGCCCAAAGTGCGCTCGCCAGTGAGTCAGCTGACTGTAGGTGCACGCTCGCCTTGACAGCAGAGCAATAAAAGACGCAAGTCTGCCTGAGCGGTGGTCATACCCAGTAGCCCTTTCTCGTTCTCACACGAAGGCACACGTACACACACACTCAGCACGTGGGCGTGCCTACGTGTAGGCACGCACGGGAACACCTTACACCGGCGCACGAAAGCCTTACCAACAACAAGCACGCACACAAGACATTAAATCCTACACAAGGCCGTGGCTTGATTGAGTACTCAAGATAGCGAAAGATAGATTTATGTGGAAATTAAAAAAAAAGCACTGTGAAAAATATCAAGACAAGCACATATCACAATTTCTTCGGTGGTGTTGATGATGCTACTTAGTATTCGGGAGGAGGGGGTCTCGAGGAAGGGCCTCGGGCGTTGCTGCCAGCTCCGCGGGTCGCATTACGCGCCAGAGAGGCGAGTTTGGGTTTGGTTTCAGGCGCCCGACGAGCAGCCGTCGGTTGTGCCAGACGAGAAGCTGGAGGCGCTGTGGACGCGGGTGTTCGCAGGCGCGTGGCTGTCGGTGGACGCAGCGCCGTGCCACGAGGACGTTCTGCGCCGATGACCCCACTCGCGGTTCCAGCCCTTCCACCAGCTGGAATGGCGGTGGGTGCCAGTGCTCGCCGCGTTAGCGGTGTCGGTTTGGTGGTGTTCGCTGTTACCGTTCGTTGGGACGTTGTCATGACATTTTCCGAAGACGACGCACTCATCAGACTGCGTGGGGCCTTTACCAAACGAGGAATAGGTGCTCGCAGACCGCTTGGACGCGGAAGGCCGGAGGGTCGAACAGCGTTTGGCCATTTAGCTGGCTCCGCAAGAGGGACAGGCTGCTTAACTGGTTGAGGAGGAGGAGGAGCAGGAGCAGGTCGGTCAGGCAGGGCGTACGTCT